CTACTCGTAATTGAGAATTGTGTATTGAAATCTCAAAATATGATGAAAAACTGATCAATTTTTATCAATTTTTGCTTCATACATTTTGATATTATTAAATATGTACATATTTTTTATTTCTATGTGTTCATTAGGAATCAAATCATTATTTTTAAAGTGAAGTTTAATTGACATGACATCATTAGTTTCTAGTTTATAGCATAACGTGCAAAATGATCACCACAGTTAAGTCTGGTTAACATCGTCACCACACAGGTAGAAATTTTTTTTCTTGCAAAGAGAACTTTTAAGAACTGCTCTCTTAAAAACTTTCAAATATACAATATGGTGTTATTAACTATCGTCACCATGCTGCACATTACATCCCAGGACTTATTTATTTTATAACCGGAAGTTTGTACCTTTTGACCACTTCATCCATTTTGCCCTCTGGCAACCACCAAATCTGTTCTCTTTATCTAAGAGTTCAGTCTTTTTGTTGTTTGTTTGTTTGTTTATTTGTTTGTTTGGGGGGGTTAAGATTCCACGTATATGTCAGATCATAAAGCATTTTTTTTTCGTCTATTTCAGTCAGCAAAATGCCCTCAAGGGATGAGAGCATGTTGTCACAAATGGCAGTGTTCTGGGGTGCGCGTGCGTGTGTGCATGTGTGTGTGTGCGTGTGCATACACCACAATTTCTTTATCCATTTACCCATCAACAGACACTTAGGTTCCTCTTGTCTTGGCTATTGTAAACAGTACTGCGGTGAACGTGGGTTGCAGACATCTCTTTGAGATAGTGTTATCATTTCCTTCACATAAATACCCAGAAGTGAAATTGCTGGGTCATAGGGTGGTTCTAGTTTTCCACAGTGGCTGCACCAATCTACAATCCCACCAACTTGGCATGAGGGTTCCTTTTTTCCACATCTCGCCAACAATTGTTATCTCTTGTCTTTTGGTGCTGGTCATCCTAACAGGTGTGAGGCGATATCTCATTGTGGTTTTAATTTGCATTTCCCTGATGATTAGTGATGTTGAGCATTTTGTCATATGTCTATTGGCCATCTGTATGTCTTCTTTGGAAAAATGTCTATTCAGATCCTCTGCCTGTTTTTTAATCATACTGTATGTTTTTTGCTATTGAGTTGTATGAATTCTTTATGTATTTTGGACATTATGTCTTTATCAAATATATGATTTGCAAATATTTTCTTCTATTTGGTCGATTGCCTTTTCATTTTGTTGTTGGTTTCCTTTGCTGTGCAGAAGCGTTTAGTTTGATGTAGTCCCACTTGTTTGTTTTTGTTGTTGTTGCCTTTGCTTTTGGTATCAAATCCAAAAAATTATTGACAAAACCAATGTCAGAGAGCTTACCATCTATATTTTCACCTACGAGTTTTATGGTTTCAGGTCTTATGTTCAAATGTTTATTTTAAGTTAATTTTGCTGTATGGTGTAAAATAGTGATTCGGTTTCATTCTTTAGCATGTGACTGTCCAGTTTTCCAAGAATTGAATCTTTTATCATATGGAATGATCTTTTCCATTACTAATAATGATTTTGATCTTAAATTTTACTTTATCTGATATTATAAAGCTACTCCAGCTTTCTTTCGGTTATCATTTACCTAACATATACTTTTCTACCCTCCTACTTTCAGCCTTCGTGTGTGCTCATGCTTTAGGTGTTTCTTTTAACCCTTATATATCTAGAATTTGGCTTTTTGTCCAAATCTATTAAAATTTGATTTTAAAATGACTTTAGACAATTTAAATTTAACATAACTTGATAAAGTTAGGCTTATAAACAAAAACATATTAATTTATAATTTCGGTTCAATATATTTTTCTCTTTTAACCTTTCCTATTTTATTTAAGTATCTGTATTAGAAGTATTTCATCCCAAATTATTTTCAATGCAAGACTTTATATTGCAAACCTTTTGACGTCTTGTGTGCCTAAGAATATTTTTATCAAGCCCACATGTTTAAATATTTTAGCTAAATATAAAATCTAGGTCCTAGTTATTTTCCTTAAGTACTTTAAAAATATTTTCCATTTTTACCTTGCATGCAGTGTTGCTGTTGAAAAAGCTGAAGTCACTGATTCTTTTTTAGTTTGGATATAATTCACATACTATAAAATTTACTCTTTCAGATACAAATTCAATTTCAAATTAAATACAATTCAGGGATTTTTAGTATACTCCCCAAATTGTGCAACCATCACTACTATCTTAATTCCAGAATATTTTTATCACCCCATACCCATTAGCAGTCACTCTCCATTGCCTTCTCTCTATGAATCCTGACTCCCTAACCTTCTTTCTGTCTTTATGGATTGGCCTCTTTTTGACATTTCATATAAATGGAATTACACAACATGTGACCCTTTGTATCTGGCTTCTGTCATGTGCCACAATGTTTTCAAGGTTTATCTATGTTACTGCATGAATCAGTGCTTCATTCCTTTTTATGGATGAATAGTATCCCATTGTGTCTCTGCCACATTTCATGTATCCATTCTTCAGTTATTGAGCATTTGGATTGTTGCCCTGTCTTGGCTGTTATGAATAATGCTGCAGTGAACATTCACCTACAGGTTTTTGTATAGACATATGTTTTCAGTTCTGTTGAGTGTATACCTATGAGTGGGATTGCTGGGTCATATTACAACTCTAGGATTAACTTTTTGAGGAATAACACTTTCCCAAGCAGCTGTAGCAGTTTACTTGCCCACCAGCAATGTATGAGTTTCTCCATATCCTCACCATCATTTGTTACTCTGTTTTATTATCGCTATCCTAGTGAGTGTTAAGTGGTATCTCACTATGATTTGCATTTCCTCTATGGCTAGTGATGTCAAGTATCTTTTCATATCTTTTCATATGGTTATTGACCATATATTTACATATACTGTTTGTAAAAGGTCTAGTCACATCCTGTGCTCATTTTTTAATTGGGTTGTTTTTTTCTGTTGTGTTATAAGAGTTCTTGATATATCCTAGATACTAGATCCTTATCAGATATGATTTGTAAATATTTTCTCCCATTATCTGAGTTGTCTTTCACATTCATGGGTAGAAGCATAAAAGTTTTTAATTTTGGTTAAGTCCAATTTATTTTCTTTTTGGTTGCTTGTGCTTTGAAGTCATTTCTAACAAACTATTGCCTAATCAAAGGTCTTAAGACTTAACCTTTGTTTTCTTCTAAGAGTCTTGTCGTTTTAGTTCTTTCCTTTAGGTCTTTGGTAAATTTTGAGCTAATTTTTTGCATATGGCAGGAGGTAGTAGGTAACTTGACTCTTGCATGTAAATACCCAGTTGTCCCAACACCATTTGCTGAAAAGACTATTCTTATTCATTGAATAGTCTTGGCACCCTTGACAAGAATCAATTGACCATAAATGTATGGGTTTTATAGGTTTATTTCTGGACTCTTAGTTCTACTCCATTGATCGAATATCTATCCTTCTGATAGTTGCACACTGTCTAGACTATTATACTTTGTAGTATGTTTTGAAATTAGGAAATATGTGAACATTATTTTGGCTATTCTGGGTCCTCTGCATTTCAATATGAATTTTCAAGATCAACTTGTCAGTTTTTACAAAATGGTAGCTTGGATTTTGATAGGAACTGCATCAAATCCATAGATCAACATGGTATCGCCATCTTAACAATATTAAGCCTTCTAATCCATGAGCATAGCATCTGTCCATTTACGTAGGTCTTTTATTTGATTCAGTGATATTTTATGATTTTCATTGTAAGTCTGGAACTACTTGTGTTAAATTTATTCCTATTTTACCGTTTTTCATGCTTTTGTAAATGGAATTTGCTTAATTTCATTTTCAGATTCTTCATTGCTAGTGTAGAGAAATACAATTGATTTTTGGACATTGGTCTTGCATTGTGCAACCTCACTGAATGCATTTATTAACTCTAATAGTTTTTTGTGGATTTTTTATAATTTTCTGTGTACAAAATCATACCATCTGTGAATAAAGATAATTTACTTTTTCCTTGCCATTCTGAATGCCTTTTCTTTCTTTTTCTTAACTAATTGGCCTAGAACTTCCAACACAACATCTTGTCATGTTCCTGATCTTAGAGAAAAACATTCAGTCTTTCACTGTTAAATATATTATTATTTGTGAGTTTTCTTTCGTAGATGTGTTTTCTCAGGTTGAACCATATTTTAGTTTTCCAGTGTTCTTTGTTACTTATTTCTGGTTTCATTGATATGGTAGAAGATACTTTGTGATTTCAAGCTTGTTAATACATTAACACATTTTTTATGGCCTAATGTATACATATATACATGCACTTGAGAAGAGTATTTATTCTGGTGGGATTGTTTAGATTTGGGGATTTTTGTGGGTTGTTTTTTTTTTAAGTATTCTGTATATGTTAGGTCTAGTTGATTTATAGTGTTGTTCAAAGTCTTCTATTTTCTTGTTGATCTTCTAATTGTTCTCTTATTTAAAATGAGAATGAACTCTCCAACTATTGTTGAATCTTGTATATCTCCTTTCTGTTCTATCAATTTTTGTTTTATATATGTTGGTACTTTGTTAAATGCATACATGTTTGTAACGGTTATATCCTTTTGATAGGTTGACTCTTTTATCATTATAAAATGTTTATGTTGCTAATAATAATTTTAATCTTCAAGTCTTATGTGTCATTAGTACAGCCACACCAGCTCTCTTGATTACTGTTTGCATGGTATTTCTCCACCCTTTGCTTTCAACCTACTTGTCTTTACCAGTGTTCCTTTATTTCTTCATTCATTTCAGCCTAAATAGCATTATTATTTCATGTAAAGTAGATCTGCTAGTGACAGTTTTTCTCACTGCCCTTGGGATTTGAGGGCAGCTCTGCTGGGTATCTGACATGCCCCCTGTCCTCTGGCTCAGTTTGGGGGCAACCCGGTGTCCTGCGCCGTGGGGCTGGCCGTCCTGGATGTCTTGGAGAAGGAGCAGCTGCAGGCCCACGCCGCCCATGTGGGCAGCTTCCTGATGGAGCTCCTGGGGCAGCAGAAAGCCAAACATCCCATCATCGGGGACATCAGGTGAGTCTCAGGGCAGCAGTCACTACCCACTAACCAAGCACCTGCCAGGGGCCTGGCATCGTTTATCTCCTAACCAGCTAGAATAGTGGGGCTTTTCTCCTCCACTCCCCAGGGAAGAACTGAAGCACTGGGCAATGGCACTTCTAGAAAGGGAAAGCCAGGGTTAAATTGCTCTGACCCCTAACCTTTCCTCTGCCTACACCAGGGACCCTCCCTTCGCAGTTATTTCTCAGACCTGTTTCACCCCCTCTAAGGGTCCCTGCGGCCCTTGGCCTCCCCAGGCAGAGGTTCAAGCCCTGGTGGAATTTTCGATGGGATTTGGCAGAGGCCCAGGCACAGAACACATGCCAGGCCCTTAGTCCCTCAGTGCTGGCCTCCTGAGATGTCACCTCCTGCTGCAGGGGTTTCGGGCTCTTCATTGGTGTGGATCTGATCAAAGATGAGGCCACGAGGACACCAGCAACCGAAGAGGCTGCCTACTTGGTGTCCAGGTACTTTTTCTTGAAACAAGTTGCCTTTGCCCTGTGTGGAGGGCCCAGATGGGGCAAGCACCCCGCTCTTGCTTCTCCTGTCCTCTCAGGCACTCTGGGCCCACAGAGGGTGGACTAAAGGTGGCATCAGGCTTCTGAGGTGGGAAGGGGTGGCCAGTCTGATCCATGCATCCCCTTGACTGAGGTCCACAGAGGAAGAAAGTGCCTGGCAGCAAAGCTTTCAGCCTGAGCAAGAACACCAGAGCTCTGGGGGCCTCAGACCCTGGCTGCCCAAAGGAAGTGACCTCTCCGGGGCTACACCAAGGACTGTGGCAGAACTAGACTCTGGGCTCCCAGACAACAGGTTGGGGGATGGACAGGACCCCTGCTCCTCATTGGGTGGGGTGTGTCTGGACGGATCAGCATCTCAGGAATCCCAGTCCCAAATCACGTTCTTTCATTTGAACCCAGGCAGGGCCTAAGCCTAGGACCCTTCCCCTTCCTGTTTATTCCCTCTCCATTCCCCACTCCTGCCCTCTTACCCCACCTCAGAAAACCCTTCTAGTGTTTGATGTGTGTCCTTATTCAGATTGCGAAGTGTGCGCCGTTTAGAATTCACATAAACAATCCGTAGTGATGTAAATCTTTCTCTCCATGAGGTTTTTTGAGACTGACTCCTCCTAAGTAGCTGTGCAATCCCTGCCTTTTCTCTGCTGGTCAGGCACTCTGCCAACTCACCCACCCCTTTCCCTAGGGAGCCTCCCCGGACTCAGGAACCCAGCATGGTCTTTGGGGAAGGAGTCAGAAACTAGGGGCGGGTAGTCACCCTGCTAAGGTGGCAGAGCTGGATTTGAAGTCTTGATCTGTTCTTTCTAGTCATACCAGGAAGAACAGGATGGGAGCCAGAAGGCAGACTGAGGACACCCAGGCTCCTGGCGAGACTTCGAAATAACAAAATGAATAGAAAAGAATGGGAGTTGGGAGTCAGAGTATAAATACAATCACACCAGACCCTCTGTGTCCAAAATACCTTCCTAGGTTGTGTAAATGTGGAATAGTAAAAGTGATTCTTAGGTACAGATGAGAATATCGAGGATAGTCATCTTCCTAAAAAGAACTGGAAGTTAAAACCAATACCCTGTCTAGGACTGGAAGGTTACCTGTGTACAGGGAGCAGGGAAGTGACTGAAGCTAGGTCACCGTGCTGTGTAATGTTTGACATTGACCATATGTATAGAAAAATAAACCACACACATCACACAAATCATACTTAAAATAGAACTGCAGGAACGGGTGATACAAGCCCCCTGCTCTGGGAGGCAGCAAGCTCAGGGCCAGGTGCAGGGCACCCAGACAGGGGCCGTTGATGCCAGGCCACAAAGGATGGGCAGTTTAGCAGGCGGGGAGCCAGTCCTGTGTTCTGGTGGGATGGCCTGTGGCGGGCTCCAAGAGCAGTTTAGCTGGAGCCCTGGCCACAAGGTGGAGGCAGGCCTCCAAGGCTGGGGGGCAGCAGGGCCCTGTGATGCTTGTCCTCCTATTCTACAGGCTGAAGGACAACTATGTTCTGCTGAGCACTGACGGCCCCGGGAGGAACGTCCTCAAGTTTAAGCCCCCTATGTGCTTCAGCTTGGACAACGCGCAACAGGTGGTGGGAAAGCTGGATGCCATCCTGACAGGTGAGCTTGAAGCCCAAGGGACAACTGACCATATCCCTAGAGTCCAATATGGAGCAAGGAGCTGAAGGAGAGGGGTCCTATTGGCCCAGGGCTCCCCATTCCTGCCTGTGCCGGTGAGAGCTGAGCCTCCACCCCCCAGCCTGGGCAGGCAGCACCAAGGGGTGCGGGGCAAGGGAGCAGGGCCAGCCCAAAGGCCACTGTGAAATGATCGCAGCTTTGTGCTTGAGGCTAAGGTCACCAAAAGCTGCTGAGCAGCTGAAATGAGATTTACACCGAGGTCTGACAAGAACACAAAATGAAATTCCTCTGCACATTCCCAATCACCCAGGACCATCAAAGCCAGCCCAGGGTCTCCCCTCAACCCACTACTAGAAATCTGTAATTACTGAATTGGATGCTGAATGCAGGATATGCTGTGCCATCAAAAGCTCAGTGGGGACCCAAAGTAGGCAAAGTCCTATCTTCTGGTAGAAATCAGAGCAGCCCTTCTCTGTCCTCACCTGAGCTTTTTCACTGCTGGCTCCAGGGCTCTGAAGCTGAGGGCCAACCCCTACTGGACATAACTGGAGGTGACATAGGACCTGAGGAGGCAGGGAGGCTGACTGAGCCCAGAAGTCCAGTTGAGCCTGAGTCTTGGGAAACCTGAGGGTTGGCTTTGTCCTTTGGGGTAATTGTTACTGCCCCTGTGGCTAGTGATCCATATACATGGGTAAAAGGTGGTAGTAGGGGCCTTCAGCCTTCACCTGAGGTTAACTAATCTCTGGTTTTTTCCCAGACATGGAAGAAAAAGTAAGAAGCTGTGAGACTCTGAGGCCCCAGCCCTAAGGCAGTACTTTCCTTCCCCCCAGGTGAGTGGGCCACAACTAGGTTCCTTAATGTTAGCAGTGGCTCCTTCACTCCAGCAACCCAAACCTTTTTGATAAATATGTTGTTCCAATCCAAGTGATGTTCCCTTCTCATAGGTTAGTTTCAACCCTGGGAGGCAGCTCTGGCTGCCCTGGGCCCTCTCCACCCACCAGAGAAAATCTCCAAAATACTTAAGTGTTTGATGCTTGGGGCAAGATGGCAGAAGGTTTCCTTCTAGAGGGCAGGGAACAAACTCCCATTACCAGACTTTGTTCACTTAGCACCCCAGCCAGCTGCTGCCATCGGACTTGAGGTGCCCCAATCCAACAGCAAATAGGCGCTGTCAGAGCAGGGTGTTACATGCCAGCCAGGAGGGGTTACCCTTGTCTGTAGGACAGTCTCATTTCCACTGGTATTCCAGGGTACCCACAGAATCCCACTACCCAGTGTACCACCTTCATCCCAGTGAACAGCTGCCTTAATCTCTGGGCCATGTCCTTCCTTTAAAGGGGCTCAAGTCCCAATTCATTAAAGGAAACTAAGAGGGTGATGTGGCAACAGGCCACAAGCTCAGAAAGCTCTGGAGCACATGGCCCCACCCCTCTCAGCATATCCCACACACACCCAGGCTTGGGGGTTTTTACATTTTTATTTCAAAAGCTTGGATAGCTTCAATATCCAGGTCGTGGCAAAATCAGGACACGTGTAAAATACCTTACAATACATTAGATTCCCAAAAGGTACCAAAAAGTACAGTAAAATTAACACTTCCATTACAGGAAATGTATGACACAAATAATATAAAATTAAAAGGTGAAAAAAGGTGACACTGGTTTTCCTAAGATAGACCTCTTTACAACCAGGGTCCACAGGTCCAGGCTGCAGGGCGGCAGTGGGAAGCAGACCCTCCCATCTGGTTCTGGTCTGACCAGGAATAAAATCAGCCCACAGTGCCGTTCTGGCCTGAGACACCACACGCTGCCTAAAACAACTAGAGCTCTGGAAATAGTAAACAGGAGAGTGATTTCCAGGGGGGAAATTTTAAATAAGATGCACATGGGACAGGCCATAGAAAGGATGCCAAGTTAAATTTGGTACATAATTGTGTTCACTCGATATCCAAACAAAGCGTGTGCAGTTGGTCGGGCACTCCTGCCGAAGCCTCAGTATGGCTTGTAGTTATTCTGATGGCCGCCACGTCGCTGGCTCTTCCCGTAATTCGTACTACCCTGACCTAGGGACAAGAATAACAATGATAGCAGCTGGGCTTACTGAGCACTTACTTACCCCTGTGCCAGGCGCTTGACTCCTCACCAGAGCAAACTCCCCTGGGGCAGGCCACAAAGCCTGGCCCGTCCGACTCCAAAGCCCCTGCTGCCAGTAGCCCCTGCACTGTCTGTCCTGCCTCCCAGGTGGGTGAGTGGATGGGCCTCCCTCTCTCCTACTTACTGTAGTCGTAGCCGGGGCCGTAGCCGTAATAGCCATAGGGCGAGTAGTCGTAGCCGCCATAGCCGGGCCCGTAGCCCTGCTGGTAGCCGTAGCCCTGGTTCCAGTAGTTGCCGTAGCCCTGATTCCAACTCTGACTCTGACCTGTGGGGGGAGCAGGGCACAGGGGCCCATGGACCATTTAGCACACGCAGGAGCTAGGATGGAGGAAATCCTGCCCTTTGGGTGGCGGGGTTACTATGGCAACTCAGAGGTAAAAGCCAAGGGGCTGCTGTCCTAGTACACGGGGCCCTGGGCCCGGCACCTGAGACCCAAGAAGCAGAGCTAAAGACCGGACAGAATGGAACACTAACTTCACTTAGGGCCACAGAGGCAGGAACTCACTCTCACTCTAATCGCCCCCTCCTTCTCTGGCAGCTTGGCCTTAAGAGAGTTCAGGCTTTGGAGTCAGAGGGGCCTGGGATGGAAAGAGCGCGCCTGGCACAGCCCTGCCCTACGTTCTGCCCACCCACCCATGACTTAGGACTCAGACTCAGGACAGCCAGAGCCCAGCAGGCCCCCCGCACCCCTCAGAGTGGGATGTAAATGCCCTGCTGCCCTGGGGCCCCAAGCCGCATGGGAAATAGGGGTGGGGCTCTTCCACTCCAAGCAGCAGCAGCAGCAGCAGCAGCAGCAGCAGCAGCAGCAGCAGCAGCAGCAGCAGCAGCAGCAGCAGCAGCAGCGCCTGGACCCAGGAAAGTCATTCCTGTTCCTGCCCACCTTGCCACATCAGAGGCCAGAGTGAGCCCTGGAGACAGGCACCAAAGCTCCATGCAGGCAGGGAAGCCAGACCCATCTTCATCCGGGGTCCACTCACCTCCACTTCCACCACCACCACCGCTGCCTCGGTTCCCTCGGTTTCGGTTTCCGCGGCCCCCAGAACCATACTGCTGCTGTTGATAGACCTCTTTGGGCTGGGCCACCTTGATTTCACACTGAAAGCCAAGAAGACAGGAGTCAGGCCACTGAGACAAGTTCTGGGCAGGGACTATGCACAAAGACGACTAACAAACATTCAAATGGCAGATCTCGTCCATCTGCTCAAAAACAAACTACGCTGTGGTGAGAAACCACACGGGGACTAGCAACTCTCAAACCATAACCAAAACAGACAGACCAAAACTTATACTAGGGCCCTGCTGGCTCAAACCTTTCCCCAGAGAAGGTACTGGGGATGGATAGAACCCCAGGTCTGCTGGTGGCCACCCTGGGGCAGCTCCATGTCAAACCAGGAGAGGGACAGCTGAGCCAATGCCAGTCCAGTGAAGCAAAACACACCAGGTGTCAGGCCTGGTGCCACCTTGGTCCTACTGGGCAAGGGGATCAGAGGCTTCCCAAATGTAAGGCCTTAGAATAAAACTTTGACTTTATTTTATTTTACAGAAGAAATGAAGCATCCCACTCAAATTTGTAGTGATGACTCTACCTCCAACTTACAGAGGAAGAAAGCCACTGAGGCTCAGAGCCACATTTCCAGGAGGCCATACTGCTTCCCCTACTCCCCCAACCATTAGTCTGTTGTTGGGACAAGCGAAGCCTATGTCCCCTCAGAGCCAGGACCGAGTCACTTTCCCCTTTGCTCAAAAACTTGCCCACTGTGGGCGGGGGTAGGGTCAGGGACCTGCCACTGCTCCCACTTAAATCGTAAGTGTATTTTTTAAAGAAAAGTCCCCTAACACATACTCTGCCCCCATTAAGAACAGTAAAAAAAAAAAAGTTTCATGTAAGATGTCCCCATATAAGCACACTCCCATAAACTGAGAAATGACCCCTACACCAAGTGATGCAATCTGTTTTCTACTCTACTGAAATAATGCTGAATACAACTAAATACACTATTTCAAGACCTACTACCAAGTTTGACTAAATGATGCCCTAACAAATTCTTCCTGCCCACTTCCCATTATAGCACACAGGGAAGGCCTCTCTGTCACTGTCCTCTGGGCTAAGGGATGTCTTACTCAAGGGCCCCTAGGAGCCAATCTCATTTTACAAGAAACTTAAAGGCCCAATCCAGTCTTTCCAAATTCCCGGCCTGAATATTGAGGTTTCCAAGAGCCGCACCCAACCTGTCCCACCATATCTGCCTGCCACTCCTGCTGAGAGCCTGCCACGCCCTGCCAGAGTTAAGCTACACCCAACTCCCAACAGCTACCTAGAGAATGACTACTTGAAGTATGAACTACCCTCTCTCCTGACCCAAGTTCAAAGGCAACAGTTGCACTTCTCACTACACAGAACTGTGCTCATTAGAAGGCAAAATTGGCCCTAGGTACAAGTGGACCAGGACCCTCGGGGGCTCTTTGGGAAGGATCTTGCTGGAGTGGGGATGACAAAACCAGTGTCTTAAAGGGATGGAGCCGAATAAAGATTTGGTTGTGGCAGGATAAGACAGGAGAAAAGCTCTGCAGCAGTATCCACAGCAGCAAAGACTTCGCCGAGCAAAGAAATAGTGAATGGCAGAAGTTCTAGTCTTCTCAGAAAGTAACTGTGGCCTTTATATACCTTAAGACTCTAGATCCAGAATGCCTTGACCTCCAGCTTAAAATCAGGAATCCAAGGGCCAGCCCCGCTCAGCATGCTTACTCCATCCCAGAGAAGCCAGCCAACCGAACCTCCCCTTCCTCCCACACATCCTGTGTTCATTGCCAGTCCTGCCAGCCTAGGAGCACCTCAAAGGATGGGACCACCTGTCCCAATCAGGCAATGAGGTCCTACTACACTGGAGAGCTCTTGGAGGTAGCCCGACCCAAGCCACAACTGCAAAGACCAGCCAGTGGCAAGAGGCCAGGCATGCAGAGCTGGAGATTCCTTACCTTACTTCCACTGATGGTATGGAACTTTTTCTCTAGAACTTTCTTCACAGGTTCCTCTTCTTTAAAGGTGATGAAAACAAAGCCTCGTCTTTTGTTTGACTTTGGATCCACTGGAAGCTCAATGGCCTCAATCTATAAACAGAGGCAAAGCTCAGAACCAGTACCCCCAACCCCGGGGCCCTCAGGGCACTGACAGAAGAAAAGGCCAGAATGAAAAGGCCTCACTGGAGGACTCCAGCCAGCCAAGGATGCTAAGGACGCCAAGGACCAGGGCAGCTGGCAGGCAACTCTTGGGGCCACACACTCACCTCCCCAAACTCGCCAAAGTACTCTCTTATCTTCTCCTCGGTGGCTTCAGGATTCAGACCCCCCACAAAAATTTTCTTTACTGGGTCCTTCTTCATGGCCATGGCCTTTTTGGGGTCAATGACACGGCCATCCAGCCTGTGCTCTTTCTGGTCTAAGACCTGTTCCAACAGAAAGGAATCAAGCTCTAACTCAGCGAGATGACCCTGCACAAAGCCCTTCTCTTGGAGATATAAAACTTAAGACACAAGTAAGCAAAATGTGTCTCATCCCCTCCAAACTCTACTTTCAACCTGACCTGCCAACCCAGTCTTCCCCAAACTTCAAGTACAGTTGCTCTCCCTATAAATCAGTCCTCACCACCTCCAGATTTTGCCCATGCTGTACTGTAGCCC